GGGGGGGGGCATGTCTTGCGGTGCTAGGAGATACACACACACACCGCCCCGGGGAACTGGAGCCAAGGGACGGAATCTCATGACCTATTTCTTAAATGGGAACAACAATAATTATCAGATTAAAAGGATATTCATTGTTCAACACCCTTAGAGGAAGTGTGAGGGGTTCAGGTCTTTGGGTCTCTGAGGTGAAAGGACCATAGGCTGTGATACTCTCTCGTTCCCAGGTGAAGACACACCTACAAGCACAGGCAGCCTCAGAAATTGCTGTAGGGCACCAGCATAAGCATCAGGTAAGGTGTTTCCAACCCTGTTGGAGTCTCTGCCCATTCTCTCCTATTTGCCCCAGCTTTCTGCCCCTACCCAACAGCTCCACCCTAGTCAAGGCTCTGCCAAGCCAGTGAATTCAGCCTCACTCTGCCCCTGAAGCCCACCCAGGCCCTCTTTCCGATACATTCCCTAGTTCCTCTAGTCATCTGCACCTGTTTCTCCTACCCTGTTCTCTCCCAGTTTGCTAATGTCCTCACTTCCATACTCCCTAGTCTGGTATGGCAAGGGAGGGAACAACCAGGTCGTAGACAACTGAAGGGCCACATTCTGGCATCAAGTTCACACACAACTGGTTGTCCAGAGATCAGATGTCTATTAAGGACCCATCCTTAGCACTGTTAGGAGATGGCAGCCTCTGATGTCAGGGTGACTAAACCACTCCATGGTCTTCCCCCTACCAGGGCATGTTTCAGGCGCTAACCAAGATTGGCCAGAAACATGGTCTGATGGGGTTGTGGCGTGGGGCCATGGGTGGCCTGCCCCGAGTTGTCATCGGTTCCTCCACTCAGCTGTGCACCTTCTCATCTACCAAGGACCTCATGACCCAGTGGGAGGTACTTCCTGGGGATATGGGTGGGGCCACCCTGGGAATGTGTGCAGGGGGAGTGCAAGCTGAACTGAGCCCTAGAAGGGACAGCACCAACATTTAATGTGAGGGAGTGGCAAGAGGGCTTGGGGCGGTCACCCTTTACACTCTTCCCACAGCTCTCATCACTTCCTTCCAGAAGGCATACCTGAGTCCTTCAGTGTTATCACCCTGTATTATAACTGATAGAGTAGAAGCTCTGTGAGTTACCACCTCTCTACTGTATTTCCAAGCACAGGGCCTGTCCTTTCCTAGGAGTTGAATGATTGACTGGTTGACAAGCTCTTCCTCTCTCCTCTTAGATATTTCCTCCCCAGAGCTGGAAGGTGGCTCTGGTAGCCGCCATGGTGAGTGGCATTGTCGTGGTCCTGGCCATGACACCCTTTGATGTGGCCAGCACAAGGCTCTACAACCAGCCCACAGATACTCAGGGCAAGGTAAGGAAGCTCTGGGGTTCAGACAGGCAAGCAAAACCGGAGGTAGAGGGAGAGAGCAGATTGCAGGAGCAAGTGGGACAGCCTAAAAGGTAGCAAGCTTGCAGAGGTGAGGCTCCTGACGGGCTCTGACAAACGCCTTCGCTATTCTTTCCCTCCTTCTACAACCTGCTCTCAGGGCCTCATGTACCGGGGGATACTGGATGCTCTGCTGCAGACAGCTCGGACAGAAGGCATTTATGGAATGTACAAGGGTATAGGAGCCTCCTACTTCCGCCTCGGCCCTCATACCATCCTCTCCCTCTTCTTCTGGGACCAGCTTCGTAGCCTCTACTACACGTACACCAAATAACAGCCACTCTTCCACACTCCATCAAATCGGCACTCCTTGGACACTCCTGCCTTCATTACTATGTCCTGGTGACTTCTGACCAGGTGACCTTTCATCCATCAGAGGGGGACAGCCAATCCCACTCCCTGTCTGTTTTCTCAGGGTTGAATCACTACAAGAGACAGTTTCCCTCCCTTCCATGGGTGTCACTTTAAACCTTCTCTACCCGTCCCCCTGTACATTTCACTCCTTTCCCTCAGGGCTGACCCAGTCACTCCAAGTGTATTTCCTCCCTTTCTCCACTGCCAGCCTTGGGTCCCTTCTGATTAAACGCACAACTTTAAACTCCCCTTCCAAGACCAAAGGGAACTAGGGGGACCCGGGTGTCCTGTTAGATTCAAAAGCACAGAGATTATATTGGTTATAAAGCAAGTTTATTTCTGCAGAAAGGTGTCTTATGTTTATGCACAGGGAAGAAATTTAGGGAATATATCCAACCCTTTGTTTCCCTTGCAGAATGGGGTCCCCAAGTCTTCAGCAGCATCATGTAGCATTTCAGCATCTTTACTGGGGACCAAAGATGTTGGGATCATGAAGAGTCAGACTGGTCACCATCTGTTCAAAGTCACCCAGGCTCCAGGGTAGAAGTGACAGATTTTCAGGGCCAAAAGATGACCTATTGTCAGGGCTTGGGGGTAGGGGAACAGATGGGGAGAGAACATCATCCAGGCCTCGTGTTTGGAAGTTCCCACTTCCTGTTCCTTGGAGTACCTGGGTATCTGTGACCCCCAAACCTCTGGCCCACTCCCACTTCCTTGGAGGACCCCACCAGCCAGCCTCCCTGCTCTGCCCCTCCCAGCCAATTTTCCTGGGGACCCCACTCATGAGCCACGTGCCCTTTCTGTCCTCCTTACGGGGGCTGATTGAAGGTGAGCAGGAGATCAGTCTGGTACTGAGGCAGCCTCAGCAAGGCCTGGTGCAGTGTCACATCCTTTGCTACCTAAAAGGATCAGTGTCAGGATGCTCTAGGGCCGAACCTCCTTCACCCCTCCAGGACATCTCACACGACACTGGCCCTTACCTGCTGATTCTCTTTAGCTACCTGCTGCTTGCCTGAGAGGACCCAGGCTTCTTCACAGCAGCCCCTCAGGGCCAGGTTCTCCAAAATGAGGGGTTGCACAGCCTCCACTTGAACAATCCTAGCCTCCTGTACACCACCAACGTCCTCAAAGTGGTACCTGGAGTGGGGAGGAGCAGGGTCATGGAGGGGCATCTCTCACCGCCACCCCACAGGCATCTTTAAGTCGAGGCTTCGCTCACTTTGGGTGGTGTATTGCTGCCCTTGAAGTTCTCATTGCCCAGATTAACTGTCCAGCCACAGGCCCCGCCCACTCCGGATCCGGCCCTCCCATTGGCCAGCCACGGGTCTGCCCTCCTCACCGCGCGGCCTCTTCTCCCTGCACGTGGGCCTGCAGCTCTAGTAGTTCCACGATCAGGCTCTGATCCGTCACGCGGTGGCAGAAAACTTCTTGATTGTCCGGGACTGGTCGGAGGTCGCTGGAGAGAGGCGAGGCAGGCCCTGGTTGACCCCGGCTCCTTTCCGCAACTCACCTGGTTGGCCTCCATCCGTGCGGGGGCTTTCTCACCTTACGTCAATGGCCCCGGGAGGGAGCGTGGCGGAGAAGGCGCCCCCGAACAGTGGATAATCTCGCGTGGGCTCCATGGGTCAAGGAGCACAGAGATTTAAAAGAAACCTGCAGGGGGCCACGTGGCATCACCGCCTGGCCTTTCGCAGCAGCCACCGCCACCGGCGGTTTTCCCCTGCTCCGGCCCTTTAAGATTTGGCCCCGCCCCGCGGTCTCGCTGGCCAGTGGGCGCCCGCGCCTTCAGCCGCTGCCGAGCGGTGCCGCTCCCGGAAGCCACGTTCTCCTGAGGGCGCGGGCGGGACCGCGGGGTCGCCTAGGAGCGGAAACGGTGGTTCTGGATTTGTGACGTCCTGTGGTTACTAACTCTGGCCCTCCAGTCCCCTCCTTTTAAAGGGGTCACACATTCTAAGAATGTCGTCTGAAACCCTCCTTAGGAGTTGTTGCTCGGCCAGGTGACCGACCTCTAGGTGTGGACGGTCTCTGCGTCGGGGAGAATTTTTCAGTCAACCAGGCCTCTTGACAGCGAATGAGCTGCTGACCAGATCGCTAATCCCGGATCGGTTGCAGGGAAGTAAGGTAACAAAGGGGCCAGGTGTGGGGCCGGGTTAGGATTCGGGCTTCACTCCTTCCTGAAAGCGAGACCCAACCCGGGGATTCTATATCTAATCCTTCTCAAATCTTTGCCTTGGGAAAGCGGTGAGGGAGTGGGGAGGAGGGCCCACACCGCCCCGCACACACCTGGAGGGAAGCACAGATTAAACGCCCTGTTTTTCTTTTACAGATTTTTAGAACGTACTTAAAGTTTCTGCTTAGCTATATCCTCCCAGCTAATTTTCCCATTCATCTTTGATCCCCAACACCCGGCAGAGTGTTTAAGTCATAACAGCTCCATTATGTATTGAGTGATTGAATAAACCCAATAGTGTATGTTCTGGAACCCAAGGGACCACTGGTGCCCTCAGGGGTTCTAGATGTCAACTCTTCTCAGCCAAGAACTGAGCAAGAGGATTCTCATCCTAAAGCCATCCCACCCATGAGATTCCAATACTGACCATACCTCTGGATCCTAATAATTTTGTAACACTGGCGCCAGAGGGAACTTTTTTTTTTTTGTACCTTACCTTGCCAGGCACTGTGTGAAGGGCTGGAGATACAAAGGCAATTAGGACACAACCCCTGCCTCACCAGAGGTATACAAGGAATTGTGGAGTACACTTTGAGTCTTAAAGGTTGACTCAGAAATCAGGGCAGCCTTAGGGGAATTTTAGCCAGGGAAACATCAGGAGCAAAGACTTAGAGATAAAAGGGCATGTTTGGGGAAAACCCAAGTACAGGCCCCCCCCAACCCCAGACTTCCCTTGGTTCAACTTAACCATTTTTCTTTGGACTTTACAATGGTGCAAAAGCTGTATGCATTCAATAAGAATCATACTGCGAATTTTGAATTTTGATTCCTGGGCTAAGCAATATGTGGTATGATACTCTACTGGGGTATTCATTGTGTTAGATGATTTTTGCCCAACTGTAGGCTAATATAAGTGTTCTGAGCACATTTAAGGTAGGCTAGTCTAAGCTATGATGTTCAGTAGATTAGATGTATTAAATGCATTTTTGACTTATGATATTTTCCACTTAATGGGTTTATGAGACAGAACCCCATGGTAAGTCGACAAACATCTGTTTATCACTTTGTCAAGGATATAGTGGGGAATGAGTGGCAGGGAGCTGTGATTGGTGAGGCTGGAGAGGTGGCAGTGTGAACGAGTATTTACAGAGCATACGAAGGAGCTTAGACTCTTCGCTTCTGATGGCTAGCATCAGACTTTTCTCAGCCTCATTTCTTCACCTCCAAAACATTGTTAGGATTACAGGAGGTATGGATGCAGCTGAATCTGTTTCTGGGCAAAGACAGTGGACTAGGTTTGATCCAAGAGAAATTCTAGAGAGGAAGGGAGTGTTATAGACCCCAGAGGGTGAGAGGAGCCTGGACAGGGGGAACCAAAGGAGCCAGGTCAGAGAGGTCTACCCCATGGTGCTTCTCTCAAATGGGGAGTGACAGACCTGTCTGTCTCTCCCTCCCTATTTCTGCTGGCCTGCCATCTGCCTCCTGCTCACCACCAGGGATAATACCAGCTCTGGCTGCTTTGTGAGCAATAGAGCAGACAGGGAGCTACCTGCAAGGACATAGATGTTAACAGGGCCGTGGCCCTGGGTACAAGGGGTGGTAGCCTATTCATGGGCCAGGAGGAAGGCACACTAGATTATGTAGACTAAGGAGAAAGCCCCCAAACATCCTCATTTTGGGTCTCCGGCATGCCAGGAGTCTGATCTGCTATGAGCTCTGTGCAGCTGGGGCTTCTCAGTTCTTGAGGTCTTGGGGCGTGGGTTAGGTATGCTCTTCCACGTAGTAAGAAGCAGACCTCCATGAAGTGACAGAGGTGCAGGGCCAGACCTCCTCTGGGAGAGTGGAGTTGAAGGGCACCCTAACTTGGCAAATTCCCACTCTTGACTCAACTTCTCTCTCCTTCACCTCTCTCTTTGTGTCTGTCCCTTCTAGACCTCCCAACTGCTGACGCCCACTGTGTGTTCAAATTCAAACTCCCCAAGAGACAGGATATAACTGGGCTGATTAGTTGGCATTCAATCTGAAAGTACCTCTTTGGCCAGCTCTCATGCTTGGCTGCTTCCCAGACCACTAACGGGCAGGACATTAGTGAGATCCCTGGTCCAGCTGGCTGGCTAGGATGATGACCGTCATGGGGCAAATCTTGTTGACTGAGATGGCCCACAGCCACTTTTCTTGATGGTGTGAGAGTATGTCTGCTCTCAGCTCACTGGTTGATGTGGGCCCACGACTAATCAATTCTATACCCCTGGGACTGCCCTTATCCAATGCCCTACATGCAGTTGTTTGCTTTGGGGACAGGTGTCCTGGGCCTTTGAGGGCACCAAGAGGTGGACCTCCTGGACTTGGACCAGAGAGATGACTCAACACCCAAAGTCAAGCATTGCTCTGGGAACAGTTAGAGTAACATTTTTATTAAGCAGGAGTTTTTGACCTTTTCTTCCATGCACCCCCTTGGCAGTTTGGTGAAGCTCCTGGACCACTACTCGGAAAAAATGTTTTTAAATTCATAAAATAAAAAATATAGAAAAACAAAGGAAATGAAAATATTTAAATAGTTATCAAAATTAAAACCCCAGATTTTTGATATAGTAAAAACGTGCTCTTTTGTCACTACATTAACAAGATCTGGCAGCCAGTCTAAGTGTAATGTCAAACCAGTGATGCACATAAGTCATAGTTCAAGTGATCTGTAACAATTCCCACGTGAGGGAGAATATCTGATTGCTGTGTGACAATCTCTGGTACATACAAGAAGCAATCAATGAATGCATATATAAGTAGAACAACAAATCGATGTTTCTCTCTCTCCCCCTTTCTCTCCCTTTCTGTGTAAAAAATTAATAAATAAAAATTTTTAAAAAATAGGCCAGTTAAGAAATGTTGCCCGGCCAGGCGTGGCTCAGCAGTTGAGCATCGGCCTAGGATCCAGAAGATTGTGGTTCGATTCCCGGTCAGGGCACATACCTGGTTGTGGGCTCGATCCCCAGTCGGGGGCGTAGAGGAGACAACCAATCAATGACTCTCTCATCATTGATGTTTCAACTCACTCTCTCCCTCTCCCTTCCTCTCTCTGAAATCAATAAAGATATATTTAAAAAAAAAAAAGTTGTACAATAAAGAACTTGACTATCTCTGGTTCCTAGGAGGAAAATTTTAAATCCTTGGAATTTCCTTGGCAATAGAAGTTCTTTGTTACTCATGATGGGCCCCAATAGTTTATATTGAGATAACTAGATAGTTTATGCAAAGGAAAGAATCAGGATGGGGGTAGGCCACACCAGGACCAACCATGTGATTAGAGGGTTAGCACTTTGAGCCAGTTGATATCAACCCAATAAAACCCCAATAAAAATTCTGGACACTGAGGCTCAAGGAGTCTTCTCGGTTGGTAAACTCATTAATGTGCCAGAAGAGTGATATACCCTTATTCCCAGGGAAAAGGGCATGGAAGATGTGCTCCTGGGACCCTTCCAGACCTAGCCAATGTATATCCTCACAGTGAAATAGTAATAAGTACAGCACTTCCCTGAGTTGTGAGAGTTATTCTTGTAATTATTGCATCTGTGAGGATTGCGGGAACCCCTGAATATAAAGCCAGTTGGCCAGAAATGTGGATGGCCTGGGAACCCATGAGATTTATGGGTGGCATATGAAACTAGGGCAGTTTTATAGAAAACCAAGCCCTTAACTTGTAGGATCTGACGCTGACTCTTGATGGTCAGCACCAGAATTGCATAATATGTCCAGTTAGTGTTAGGCCAGTTGAGGGTGAAATAGAGTAAGAACCCATTATAATGTTGCCCTAGCCATTTTGGCTCAGTGGTTAGAGCATCAGCCTGCGCACAGAAGGGTCTTGGGTTCGATTCCTAGTCAAGGGCACATACCTGGGTTGCAGGTTTGATACCCAGCACAGAGGTGCTTACAGACGGCAACCAATCGATGTTTCTCTCTCTACCTCCATCTCTCTAAAAAGCAATGGATAAAATACCCTCTGGTGAGGGTTAATAAATTAATTAAAAGATGGAGGTGGCTTAGGTTGGGCGGAGGGGAGCAAGCGGGAGAAAATGGGAGACATCTACAATACTGTCAACAATATGGAGGCCTGGCCAAGAAGAATGGAGACACCAAAGACAAGTAGGAAGATGAAGGGTTTGGTAGACAAAGGGTTTGGTTGTGGGTAGGGCAAAGAGAAGAGATCATGTCCACCCAAGATCTCTTCTGCCTGCCTCCTGGATACCTCCAATTCAAGTCCCACCGATGCCTCAAACTCAACATGTCCTAAGCAAAGCACATCATCTTTCTCCCAAACGTGCCATCTCCCACATTCCTATTACAGTTAGTGAGATTATCACCCACCCAATGAACAAGCAGTCTGGGCATTGGCTCTCCTCTTCTACCCTCACATCCAGGTCCCAGTGATTCTACATCCTAATGCCGCTCAGATCCTTGCCTTTCCACATCCACCGCCATCACCTATCCTGGCCAGCATTATTCCTGCCTTCTTTTTGGATTCCCCACATCCTCTCCTCTTTTCTCCTCTGTAGCTGGAGTGATCTTTTAAAAATGCAAATCTACTCGTATTTATCCTTTATATAAACCCCTTCAAATGGTTTTCCATTGCTCTTAGGATAAAGTCCAGATTCCTCAACATGCTCTGTTCATGCCTCTCCCATTTCCCATCTATACTTAGTGTTCCAGACAGACCCACCTTTGTTCAATTCCTTCACTCACTGTGTCGCTTGCTTGTGAAGCTTTGCAAATATTGTTCTGCTTTCCTAGAGTACACTCCCTTCCCTTTCTTGTAATTAGCTGCTGCTCATCCCTCAGGTTGCAGCTAATCCCAGGCATTCTTCCTTGATCCTAAAAGTCTGGGCCTCATCCCCTGCTATGGGCTCCCACAGGACCCTGAGCTTCCCCTAAAAGATACTTCATTGAAATTGCTTGTCCCAAGCCTTTCTCCCTCCATGTGTGTGACCTGGGAGGAGGCCCTTGGCCATTTTCTTACCTGAATGACAGATAGGGTGGGGTTCTCTGTGGCATACCCTTTGTCCCATTCTGTAGCCACAGGCTGCTCCTCCAACCTGACCAGGCAGATGAGCTGCACAAACCCACCCTTCCTCAGGGGAAAATGGCCCAGTCACAGGCACTCGTACTGGGTTACTCACAGAGGAAGGTCTTTCCTGAAGCCTGACCCAAAGCCCCAGGCCCCATTGCATCAATCCAAGTATCCAATTATAGACTGAAGATTTGATTTCACCCCAGGGTCTTGAATATAGTAGGTGCTGGGGGAACATAGCTTATGGGACCCTGGGATTCTGAAGGCTCCGCTGCTGTGAGAGACCCCCTCCTCCAACAGGCTTACAAGTAACTGATAACCACCTCCTTTCCTTCCACACAGCAGGAAGCAAGAATGAAGAGAAGTATGCGCCCTTCCTTTAAGAACACTTGGAAGGTGTAAATACCACTTTCTCTCCCATTGGCCAGAATGTAGTCAGCTGTAAGGGAAGCTGGGATATGTTTTATCTCGAGAAGCCATGACCCCTGCTTAAATACTGGAGGATTCTATTTCTAGAGGGGAGAATCAGATATTGGGGAGCATTTGGCAGTCTCTTCTACAGGGGGTGATGGCTAAGTTGGCAGAACACACAGAAGGGGGTGAAGGTGATATAGTAAAATGGCATAAACCTAAAATGGGCAAGATTTTCTTCTAAGGGGGTAGAAAATAGTCTGGAAGTGATACAGAGAAGATCCAAACTCCAACTCCCCAGCCTGAGGTAGGTGAGGTGCAATCTGAGAATTTATTCTGCCAAGAAATGTGAGTGGGAAGAGTGGGAATAATGCTGCAGGAGAGTGGGAAGCAGATATAGTACAAGTGAGCATGGGCCCCTGGCTCTGTGGCTTACAAGCTGTGTGACCTCTAGAAAATTTAACTTCAATTTTTTTTTTTTTTAAATGGGGCTATTGCTGAATTCTGTGAGAAATAATTTAACATATAAACTGCTTAGCACATGCCTGGCTCATGGTAGATGCCATATTCAACTACTGTTTTAAACTGTATTAAACACAAATTCCCTGGGGCAATGGTTGGCACTGTAACTAATCACCCAATATTAATAGAATAGTTAAGGCTCAGTTCTAGGAATGAAAGTGCGGACCACTTCTGTCACAAAGGGAGCTGTTAAATTAGAAGCAAAATTAGGAATATTGAGTTCAGAGGCCAGAGACGCTACCAGAGATACTTCTGCAAACAACTGCTTGCTTACACTTACCACAATATTGCATTTTTAGGAGGAATCCAGAAAGCTTCTACTTTTTCAGATAAGAATGCTGACATCCTGATTTGCATGCTCTTATTTGGCTCCACCCTCTAAACCTCAATGAGGGATGGGGGGCAGAAAACATCCCTCCAAGCCCAGATGAGTGACATGAAGTACCACGTGGTGAAGAGAAGGCGGTCAATGGAACCTCATCCTCTGAAGATTTTTTACTCTAAACCACATGCTGCTTCCTGGGCTCATGAAGAAATATTACAGCAAAAAGACCGAAAACAGATCCAACAGCATAAGGCAAAAGAGAGCAGGTTAATAAAATTAGCTGAGATGGGTTTTTTATTTTGGGATTTTGGTCCTTGTCTGTCTAAGACACATTTGAAAATAATATGGGGTGCCTCTGAAGGTGATGAGGTAGAGAGCAGCAACACCCCAGGGACAAACTATGAGGCCCAGATGAGCCTCCTTGGCCTGCTCAGTAGCCTCCTTCCCGGGTCCAGTTTCGGGCATTGATGAAGAGCTGGAGCCAGGGGGAGGTGGTCAGAGTGTCAAACGGAGGGGGTTGCCATGCCCACTGCCAAGGCCTCACAGCCCGCTCAGGGTGAGGCATGAGAGCCAGGTGGCGGCCATCAAGAGAGCAGACGCCAGCCACTCCCCCTGGGGACCCGTTGGGATTCAGGGGGTACTGTTCTGTGGGGTTTCCGGCATCATCTGCCCAGTGCAGTGGAGCCAAGCCCTTGGCCTCGATCTGGGCTTGGAGTTCCGGAGAAGAAAACGCCATGTAACCTGGGAGGCAAAGGGAAGGGAAGCAAGAGCAAAACTCCTTCAAGCCCTCTACACACCCCTGCCCTCAGACACCCCTCCCTGCCTTCCTGCAGCCTAACCTTCACCATGGGCACTCCACACGGGCAGCACGGCACCCTCCATCCCCCGCAGCATCAGGGCCGGCCCGGGCCCCACGCGCACACTGGCCCAGCGAGACTCAAAACGCCCCGACAGGTTGTGGCGAAGCAGGAGGCCAGGCTGGGCTGCCCAGGAGTCACGGCCCATCTCCTCTTCCTCCTCATTGGGGTCGCCTCCCACCCAGCCCAGCAGGGCCAGCAGCTGACAGCCGTTACACACGCCCAGGCTGAAGGTGTCTGGCCGCTTCCGGAAGTGCCTCAGCTCAGCCCCGGCCTGTGGATGAAAGGTCACAGCAGCTGCCCACCCTAGGAAGGAACAGGAAAGTTGGGGTGAGACTTGGAATGAAGGGGGACCACTGCTTTTCCCTCCTAACATGCACTGTTACACTCCCCCAGGATGGCCCCTTCTGCAGAGCTCAGGGCAAGTGTAGGGGAAGAAATGGGTTTATCTGCTTAATTCAGATATTGCCAATTCCTGGGCCAGACATGGCCCATGAAAAGTTTTTTGCTGGACCAGCAGAGCCTTTTCAAAATTTATTTATTTGCTTAACATTTAAAAATAAGATTTCAGCCCAGCCAGCGTGGCTTGGGGGTTGAGCACTGACGGAGGACCCAGGAAATCATGGTTCGATTCCCAGTCAGGGCACATGCCGGGGATGCATGCTCGATCCCCAGTCTGGGGTGTGCAGGAGGCACCCGATCAATGACAACTCTCTCATCACTGATGTTTCTTTCTCTCTCCCTCTTCCTTCCTTTCTCTGAAATCAATATAGATATATTTTTTAAATAAATAAATATACATATATTTTTTAAAAATAATAAAAATAAGATTTCATATAAAAATCTGGATTTCTGGCTCCTCTTAAAAAAACAGAAAGAGCCAGGCCGGGCGTGGCCCAGCGGTTGAGCATCGACCTATGATCCAGGCGATCAGGGTTTGATTCCTGGTCAGGGCACATGCCTGAGTTGTGGGCTGCAGCCAATCAATGACTCATCAGTGATGTTTCTCTCTCTCTCTCTCCCTCTCCTTTCCTCTCTGTGAAATCAATAAAAATGTATTTTTAAAAATAAATAAATAAACAAACAGAAAGATAGCCCGGCCGGGCGTGGCTCAGCGGCTGAGCATCAACCTAGGATCCAGGAGATTGGGGTTCGATTCCCGGTCAGGGCACATGCCCAGGTTGCAGGCTAGGCAGCCAATCAATGACTCTCTCATCATTGATGTTTCTATCCCTCTCTCTCCCTCGCCTTTCCTCTCTTTGAAATCAATAAAGATATTTTAAAAAAACAAAAAAAACCCAGAAAGATTGAGCCATGCTGAGCCAGATTCCCAACAGCACAATCTGCTGGAGATTAGCAGCAGCTGCCCCTTTAGACAAGACATGTGCCCTCCAGCCTAGCTGGCACAGCCCCACCTGGCTACTTGCCTCATTTAAGGCCAGATGCAGGCCTTCTGCTGGCATCTGGTCCAGAATGAATGCCCTCTCCCCTGGCCTTGTGGAGGTGAGAGGCCAAGGCCCAGTCAAGGAAGAAGGGGCTAAGGCACCTCCCTAGGAATGTGTGCAGAGGAAATGGACAGAGCCTACATGCTGACCTTTGGCAGAGCCCAGGACATCTGCATAACTGAAGCCGCCCACGAAGGCCACGCCACGAAACGTGTCCAGCTTGATTGCTCCCGAACAGAGATCTTGCATGGTCACATCCCACACCTGGCGGGATGGGGGAAAGAAGTGTCAAAGAACAAACAGTCTGAGGCCTAGCCCCAGCTCTGCCAGGCACACTGCTCACCTCAAAGCCAGCCAGGTGGAAGGCATCGGCCATCTCCCGGTCTCCGTTACTGCCCTCCTCTCGCAAGATGGCAACCCTGGGGGTGGGACCACCTGGAGGGAGAAATGTCTGTTCCAGAGGGCTACTTCCCCACCCCAACCCCCCACACACCTTTTCCAGAGCAGGACTGGGCATCCAGGCCCAACGTGCCCAGGAAGCCAAGGCTCTGCATACTCTTCCTCACCAGGTTCCTGCAGCATGGAAGCTTTGGGAAAGGTGGGGGGCAGGCAGTAGTGAGGCCCTGTCCGCTCCCTCAGCCCTTGTTCCTCCTCTGCCACACAGCTTGGCTCTGCCTGCAGTCGGTCCAGCTGGAAACTTGTCTCTTCCCAAAGGGCTCGCAGCTGCCCAACAGGCTCCTCCAGAACCACAGCCCCATTCACTGATACCCGGACCTAGAAAGGGGCAAATCCATCAGAGGCCAAGAGCAAAGATTCCCAACCTGGGCCCCTCTGAGGCTGGAGGTAAACCACGCCTCTCCACCACCACACCCTACTCCTCACCATGGCATGTGGCCCAATGTGACCCGTGTGGCCCAGCTCCAGGCAGTGGAGGCCAGCACCCTGGTAGCGCTTTAGCACTTGGGCTAGGTCTGTCTCCTGCACCTCCAGTACCAGGCCTGGCTCCTCAGCAAACAGCACAGGCAGCACTAGGAGAACGGGGGCATCAGGGGCACTGGAGTACTGACATGGACTCTGAGGTGGAGTTGGGGGTATGGCTGAGGATTGTGGGAGTGGAGGCAGGGACTGGTTGGGGTGAGGTCTATGAGACTGGGACCAAAGATGTGGCATCAGGGTATACGGGAGGTCTCAGAGGGACACAGTGCGGAACACTGGGTGCCACCTGGCTCAGTGGTCAAAGACAGAAAGGGACTCTGGGGAAATGGAGTTGGGGACACTATATTCTTCAATAGGACATGGAGTCTGCAGCATGGGGCAGGCAGCCCAGGCCTAAGTCTGGATCCTGGGCTCCTCACCATTGACTTCAGAAGCAGGCACGTCTACCTCTATCCCACAATTCCCAGCAAAGGCCATCTCTAGCAGGCAGGTGATGAGACCCCCATCACTGACATCATGGCCTGAGCAGAGGAGGCGGTCTGGAGGAAGAAGAAAAAAACTCAGCAACCTCAGAGGCCAAACCACGCCCTCTGGTTGTGGGCAGAGCGTGAGAATGTGGACATACACACAGAAGAGAACCAGAGAGAAGAGCATCTGCTCCCTCTTGCCCAACCTCACATGCTCAGCTAGGGAATGCCTGCCACTTCTGGCCATAAACTCCACCTCCACCAGGGCCTCACCTACCTTTCAGCAGCCCCTGGGTGATGTTGAAGGCACGCACCAAGTTTTCAGGAAGGTCCAGGTTGGGAGGTTGCTCACCAAGCTGGGAGAAGCACTGGGCCAGGGCTGTGCCCCCCAGCCGGTGCTGCCCAGGGCTCAGGGGCACGTACAGCAGATGGCCTGGAGAGACGAGAGACAAGGGGCTCAGGGTGGTGCTCATGAGCACCTAAGTCCCAACAGGTGGTGGGACACTCAGACCACTAGTCCCAGAAAGTACCACGGTCCCTGTGTGGAGAAGGGGCAGGGGTGGGGGTACGGTGTTGGATAACATTCACAATAGAGACCCCAAACAAAGAACCAGACTCTGAATACACAATGCAGCAAGGAAGGAAAGAGCCCATACCTTTCCCTCTAGGACACTTGAGGTCTGGGGTCACAGTGGCTGTAATGTCTGGACAGACAGCATAGGCTGAGATGACCAGCGATCCTATGGAGCAAGGAGTAAGAGAGTAAGGTGCCAGCCTGGCCCTACAGGTCCCATCCCTCTCCCAGTGGCCCCCAGACCTCACCAGGAGCCAACACAGTCTCAGAGCCAACCCGGGCAGCCATGCTGAGGGAGTCCTTGCCACCATCAACTGCTACACCCAGGGCCGCCATCACTGCCACCATAGCCTCACAGGCATCGGCCAGAGCCGCCCCCTCCCCTGGAAGCTTGGCCGCCCACATCCAGTTTGCACTGCACTTCACATCCTAGGAAGTGGCAGACTTGGCATTAGAGGGGAGGAGAGATGGGGAAGTCTGGGGTGGGGGCAAAGGCACTGGGAATCCACAAGCCTGAAGGGCAGAGGGGTAACTGAATGGTGGACGTGGATGTTTCCCAAAGGCCTAGGGCTTCACGGTGGAAGCTGTGGGGGACTCACCCGGAGGTCAGTGACTAGAGCAAACACCAGGTTGGTGAGGGCCTCGGCCACAGCCAGCCGGGCAGCAACCTTGGGGTCCAGCAGGCTCTTGACTGGCTGCTCTCCCAGGGCTGTGGCGGCCCCTATGAGCTCCTGGTGACTCAGTGCCACAACTGCCACGTCTGCTAGAGGAGTCTGCAGGGGCCCGACACACTGCTGCTGTGCCACCAGGCCACCCACAGAGCGGTCCACCTGTGGAACCAGGTGGGGTTAGCAAGAGCACAAGGGACAGGGACACAGGGGTGGGGTGGTGGGAGACTGGGCTTGCCCGGACTGTGCAGACAAGAGGCCTTCAGGGTGGCTGCCCTGCCCCTTCTCCCTCAGGCCTGGTAGACCCCCATATCAGTCCCCAAGGGTGGGAAGAGGGGTGGGTGAGCTG